CAGCAGCAGGACATGGTAAAGTTAGTGCAGCGTGTTGTCTGCAGCTCACTGTGGCTGCTTTATGTTCCTGACATATTTGAAACTCATCTGCTGACCAGAAAATGACAAAAATAACTGTTTGTAGATGCCTTTTTGATGAACAATCGCAGTCAGTGCTAAACTCTGTGACAAACACACTGTGTATCCTTTAACTGCTTTACAATAAAAGCCACTCCATGTTGCATCAATGTGAACTAGAAGCAGTAGTGAGAATCTGAATCCAGCAAGGGAACAGAGGGGTAATGGTACAGTGTAAATAAAGTAAATGGCGAGAGGTGGGGGGGTTGTTCATCCTCATGAACAAACCAGTAGTGGTGAGGTAATTTATTAGGTGGTTTTAATGAACAGTAATAATGAGGCCATATGTCAGATGTTCAGGCATACCACATCACACACAGCACAAAGCCTGTTTCTGTACAACAACAGGTTTCGCCTCTTGTGGCAGAGCGGCAGCTGGATAAACAGCTTGATGTGGGCCTGGAAGCTGCCACTGGTCTTTACTATGCTGCAGACAAACAGATGATCCCTCGCCTCTGCGCTTCCTCATAGGCTGTTGTTAGACATTATTGCACTGCCTTGTGCCAGGACAGAGAAATGGAAGATGCCTGTATGAGCGGTAGACAGCCTTTCGAAATCTGTCTGTTACGTGGGATGTGGTAAAGGAAGAGAGCAGCAGTCTAGATGTAGCCTTTTCATCAGTGGTGGAAGAAGTACTCAGATCAGTCACTGAGGTAACAGTACCAATACAACAATGTAAACATACTTACAAGTAAAAGAAAAGTGCTCATTCTGCAGAAAAATGTCCCCTTATATAAGACATTATTAGATTCATACTGTTGCATCAGTACTTTTCTCTAATTTGTGATTTTAGAAAAAATTAAATGTATAATTTGACATCTTTGAGCAAAACAGTTATTTAAAGTAACAGTGTGTAGGATTTAGTGGCATCTAGTGGTTAAGTTGCAGATCGCAACTACTGAAAACCAATGGCACCTGCGCTCTTAATTTTAATACATATTTTAATTGTATTTTTTTTCTATAATTCTTGAGTTTTACAGTACTCTTTTCTCTTAATATGTTAATTTTGACCATTATGCACCACAACACCAAGGCAAATTTCTTGTATGTGAAAACCTACTTGGCAATGAACCTGTTTCTGTTTCTGGTATCATTTCCTGTGCACTATTACATTTTTCATGAAAAAGAGCTACCAGGCTCAAAGAACAGTAATTGTTTAAGCTTTTTAATGGAACAGCACAATGGACATGTATTATTAAGTTGAAACACTGCAGTGAATACAAGAAAGAAATAGTTGTACACATACAGTTTGTGGCTAACAATCTGAAGGTCGTCTCTTCATGCTGTCTTGTGATCCCCTGTAGATCAGTGTGAGGTGGTTGATGTAGAATTAGTCACCTTTTATAACAATTTATCATTTCCTTCCTTACATATTAAGTACAGGAAAAGATTTAATGATACAAGTTACAAATTGGTATTAACGTTATAGATGAGATTACATTAGTACGCGGACCCCTGGATGGATCTAAATGTACCACGAAACAGTCGATGTTCCGATTCTAAAGTTATGAATCGGTTGACTGAAGCTTTGCTGCTTATAGCATCTCCACTCTCGTGAAAGGTAAAAGGTCAATGCCAGGGTCTCACAACGTGAACAAAGAGACTAACGTTAGCACAGCACAGCTTGCGAAGTCGGTACATGTCCGACAACGCCAACATGATTTACAGTGCACCATCAGATCTAAAAGTTTGGAAGACATTCGGATTAGATAAGAAGTAGATTTGTCGGACAGCAATTAAGTACAACACTAGAGCTGCTAATACAGCTAACACTCAAGACACGGATATTAAATACTTTCCAACCACTACTTCGCTACAACTCTGCGAGGTCACGGCAGAAAAGTCTTTTTCACTGTGTATTTTATAAAATGTATGTATTTGAAGGTAAGCAATGTCACTTTTATAGAATTGGCTTAGAACTGTATCAGACTGTGTCAAATCGCACCAAATTGTTCCATATTAAAATGCATCTTCCCTGAATGGAATCATAGCCCATCTATCAAGATACGTATAAGATAGTCTTAGAAGGGAGAGATGCACACCTCTAGTAGATGTAGTCAGGGCATCACCATGGTTATTACAACACTGTGAACATCTTCACCAAATTTCATGGTAATCCATCAAATAGTTGTTGAGGTATTTCACACTGAACCACAACCATGTCAACCTAATGATTGCAGATCAAGTCAGGGGATCACCAAAGTCATTATGATTAATCCTCTGAGGACTATCACAGTCTGTACCAAATTTCATAGCAATCCATCCATGATTTGTTTGAATATATCACTCTGGACTATAGTAGTGGACTAACCAACATTGCCATCCCTAGAGACTAAAGAACTGAGTGGATAGTAAACCATGAGCAGCTGCAGGAACAAGATAGTTTTACTGCATCTGGGTGTGAGATAATTTAAGGCTATGAGGCTTGTCATCTAACAATATATCAAAGCAACTACGAAACAGGAATTGAAATAAAATGTGTCAGGCTAATTAAAGTTGTATCTTAAATTACTGAATTTACTCACATGGTCACATTTCTTATTGTTATTGCTACCAGCTAGCAGGTATGCTTACCATTGTTATGTGGAAGTGACGGGATCACCTAACCTATTATATGTGATTCTGTAGGGAACCTGTCTGTTTGATGGCAGTCCATCCATGAATTTTCTTGAAACGTTAGTCTAAACTAAAAAATGTCACCCTGCTGGTGGTGCCACATGTAAATTCATAGGATTATCAAAGTAAGAAGGACCCGAATGCCTGTGCGAAATTTTGTGCCAATCCATCTAGTATACGTTCAGATAGATGTCCACTTTATAATGAAAACTTTGACCAGCTGTCTCAACAAAATTCAGTCCATGCCATATTTGTTAAGAGGTATATATACAAATGTACCATGATTGACATCCTTATAGTCATGGAGTGGATAAAAAATGTATAGATCTGTCTCCCAGTTTGCCTGATATGGTAAAGGGTATTTATTTGTAAAATGTATTCAATTCAATTTCTATTTTTCAAACACAAAAGGCGAATAGATAATTGTGTACTTGTTACCCTTTGAAAACAAGGCCCTCTGATTATAACAACACAGATTTTCTGGTGTCACCAAGTCTTAGTTGCTATGCAAGTTCACAACTAAACTAACAGCTTGGGCAAAACAGTCTGTTTTTTCAGGTTGGAGGTTGAGGACTTGTTCCAATTAAAAGCCAAAGATCATTTTTAAGCCATATTTAAAAACTGAAAAATTAAGAACTTAAAGATTGGTATTGGGGCCGGTACATGCAGGCATATTTTTATCCTTTCTCCACTGTAGCATTTCACTGCATACCAGTATACCAGGTTTCACTCGTTTCTCTAATTTGTGCCTCCTCGTCTCCTCTCTCCTCCGTCCTCCTGCCTGTGACCTGGAAATCAATCTCAGTGCACCATCTCGAAAGACATCTTCATTCCTAAATTGCATCTGGAGGAGAGAGGAGGCTTGCTGGAGGAGCTAGAGCAAGGATACACAGGTGTATTCCTTGCAGAAGTCTTTTCAATGTTTTCGGCACCCATGAAGTATAAAAGAGGCATGACACACAGCTGGAATATACAAACTCAAACGATATTTAAGATGATCAAATGCACAGTCAAACTTTCTGTAGCGCCTCATAGGGCACTGTTCTAACCACATTCCTTACTGACATTTCACCTTGATACAGGTAGTTACCATGGTAACAGTCAAAAAACTCAAATACCCACATACAGACATAATAGACAGTGAATTAACAGTGTTATGAGTCGGTGTTTACAGTCCACCTCTCATTCCCGCACTCTTCTCCTACTTACAATGGAGGCTGTAGTGAGTTGAGACAACTAAATCCTCAAAACGTTTATCATTATGGATTATACTGATACTGAATTGACAAGAAGACGTCAGCATGTGACGAACTTTAGCATGTGTTTGTAGATTTACATGTTGCTACAGACGCCTAAGGAATTGTTAAAATGTAACATTTCTTAAAGGGAGTTTGGCATAGTAGTTTCCTGGAAGTTACAGTACACAATGAAAACTACATATATATAGTGAAAGAGCAGCTTTATTGGTTATGATTGAAATAAAAAATGTATGACATCTGTACATTCTTGTCACATTATGCCACGTTGTGAATTGTTCTGAACATGGTTATGTTTATCTGACAGAGGTCTATAAGAAAACATTGAACAGACGATGCAGCTGTGTCGTTGTTGACTTTGAAGCAAGGACCTCTCATTCTGTTTAATGGCTGTTGTCTTGACTCCTCTCTCTTCTGTGTCTGTCCTTGCCTCCTCCACTTGCATCTCTGGTGGGAGGGACAAAGATGCAAGGAGAGAAATCAAGGATGTACAAACTAGGAAATGTTCCATTGTCTCAGGGCCAGTTCGTCTTTTCCCTTTTACTTTGTTTTCTTCTTCTCACATATTTATGGACTTTGGATTTTTTGCCATGGGTTTGTTTGCCTGTATTGGACTGTTTATCTGGTTTTGACCTGTGCCTGCCTGACCATCCCATAAGCCTTTTTGTATTGACTTTGCCATTAAATACTCTGAGTCTGCATTTGGGTACAATCTCTAGCATTCCTGCTACTATGCTTGAACAATTTGACACATATTTAATCAATGCTTAAGTAAAAAAAAGTATTGGATCGGATTTGTTATCAGCAGATAATCAAAGATTAAAGGACTCAGGGCCAAAAAAAACTTGATCGGGAATCCAGAAAATATGGTCTCCCATGAATACAAATATCCAAATTTGAAGGCCCTGTGATGGTATTAATGACAAATAGAATAACAAACAAAATGTCACACTAGGTCAAATGCAGGAACTGTATTTGTTCATCTTGTCTTTCTGTTTGATGTTGTTTCAGGCCTCAAGGCAGCATGATAACATCTGTTCACACTCCAGTATCTCCAGCGGACGGACAGTGAGGACCAGTCGCCACTATGCGATGAGTGTAAGGGACCAGTGGCGGTGTTGTGGCCCCAGGCGGGATGCTGCTGACGGCCGGTCAGTATGACTCTGCTGGACTTGTGGCTGTCGCGCTCCATCCCCATGTGCCTGCTCCTTCAGAGCCTTGTCCTCATGGCCCTGTGCTTCCCCTCGGCCAGCATGTGTCCAAAGGGCTGCATCTGCCTACGCGACCCCCACCTACACGGCCTCAACGTTACCTGCAGTCAGTCACGCCTCAAAGAGATCCCCCCCAGCCTCCCGGTCGACACTGTCCTTCTGAGGCTGGACCACAACCAGATAGGTGCCGTTCCCGATCAAGCCTTCCATGGACTCAGGCTTTTGAGGGAGCTCAACCTTTCATACAATGCAGTGGAGACTTTAGGGGAAGGTGCCTTCAGTGGCATAGAGGCAACGTTACAGGTGCTGGACCTCTCCCACAATCGCATCACTAGCGTACACAAGGATGCCTTCGCTCGGCTCAAGGCCCGCGTCATTGTGGATGATAACCCCTGGCATTGTGACTGCGCCCTCCAGCAGGCCATCGGCGGAATGGCTCACAACCACGAGGCCGCCGCTCGGGTCCTCTGCAGGAGCTCGGAGCTCCGTGACCAGGAGGGACGACCTTTCTTGGCAGTGGACACAGACCTCTGTAACCTGGCCAAAAGGACCACAGACTACGCTATGCTGGTGACCATGTTCGGTTGGTTTGCCATGGTCATTTCATATGTCGTATATTATGTCCGTCAGAACCAGGAGGATGCCCGACGACACCTGGAGTACCTCAAGTCACTCCCCAGCAAGCCCAAGAAACCTGACGAGGCCGACGACATAAGCACTGTTGTCTGACAGCAGTGTCAATGTGACTGTATCCCACAAAACCTGATGAACACCAAAATGTTTATGTAACAGGACCCACATTTATAGTGTTTACTAATTCAAACTTTTAGGTGATGTGAGCATCAAATCTGCTGAGAAATCTTTGTATTTTAGAAATTTTGTCGTATGTCCTTACTAGGGTTTGTTCATGACTGATCTAAAATGAGATAAGAAGGGAAGCCACAGAGTCTAATGGTTCAACACCAACATTGTCTTTTCTACAAAAAATTGCATGTGGAGTTTTGAAGATTTGAATCTCAGGTTTAAATATTGACATGATAATGGCTTTTTTTAGGTTAAAATTTGGAATATCTGATAAAAAGAAATATATTTGTAAGACGTGACACCCTAAACTTCATTTCTGAGAGCCTTCATTTTGGTATCTCAAAGCCCACGATAAAATGTACATTGAGTTTTGCAACACATGCTAAACCAACTGCATCTTCATACCCTTTAGTGTAAATGTAAATTAAAAAATCTAGTCAGCATTTCTGAATCCATGGCCTACTTATGGAGACTATTTAATCTATACAGTGTGTGATATTTTAGACCATTGCAGATGGGAGGTATTTGTCATATCTTCCTGCTTGCCTTTAGCTGTGGTGTTGTGTTTTTATACAAAAAATCCCAATTAAGACATATTTGATAGGGATGAGTAGGAAAGATTTCACTGAAATATTTAATTAACCATGTCACATCACGGCTATGGAGAACATTGGAATCTACGGAAGTCGATTTCTGTCAAGAAAAGTAATGAATTATTGATGGTTAAATTGTTCAAATGAACACATAAAGTTACTAAAAAAGATTAACGTTTTAAGACAAAATTAAAAGATGCTAGCTTGTCATTGTTACTGGCTATATCACCATTACGCACCAAGTTAAATTAGCTTAGAACCAGTGGTTCTACCATACAACCAACCATGGTTCAGGGTCACAGTTCTGGTAAGGTGATGGCAAAAAAACCCACCAAAACTTATAATAAAGTATGTACAACAGCTGTTATTAAAAGCTGTAATTAACAGATTCATTTAGATTAGCTCAGTGATTTAATGTTTGGCACACTGAGACAGATGACACAAAATGAGTAGTATTAATTACTGTAGTGAATCTATAATAGTCAGTATAGCCTAGTGTCTCAAAATAATGACTTACTGTCTCATAATTTTAACAAGAACTTTTTCCAGGCAGGAATGGGCATCCATAGATCCTGTTGGGTCAGAGGGTGTGCATTATAACCACACTCCTCTGACGCAATGCTCCCTTTAAATTTATGAATTAATTTGTCGTAGCCTGATTTCAGTTCTTACGAGGCTACAGCTTCTCCTTGTTGGAGTATTGTTCATTACACGATAGGCAAAAATGGTGCAGATCCAAGTTTCCATTTAAAGAATGTACTGCCCCAAAATAAAACAAAAACAAAAACGTACATTTTAATTGTAGCAAGTGCTCCATGGTGTTAGCAGGATAATCCATCCAACTTGTATAGCTATTAAACAATAATGCACTCTGTGGAGGCAAATGTGGGTGCAATCAGCCCACAGCATGCATTATTCTTCAATGACCACAATGTGTATTATTTGTTATATACAACAATACAATAATCCTAATGCTAATCCTAATGAGAGTTTTGGTTTACGCTTGAGAATAAGGCTTTTAAGATGAAATGGTATGAGAAGTTGGTGGTTCCTGCATAACACTGATAACACTGCTATTCCAAAACTACATCCATCTCAATACAAGTCTGCTCAGTTTCTCGTAATCATAATGAGATTATTTTCATGTTAAAACAGATATTTTTAAGTGATAATGACATTGTTTCTTGAAAACAATTAACAACATACCAACTCTGCTCATTATATAACCATCTTTATAATATTATAAGAAAGAAGATACAGTCAGTGTCTGAAAAGTAAACACTAGCCTACATCAGTTCATTGCTTATTATTTAAATAACATGTAGCTACACAGCCAACTTGGTCACCTTGGTCATATCTTTGTACACCTGAGTCGCCTGCAGTTATTACCATGCACTCACTAATTACGCTTTACAAGCAATCGCAATGGACTTTTTTTACCCCAGATTTTGCCTCTCATGAAACATACAAGCTGCTCTACCTTCTTGGTGGACGTTGTTGGGACTGTATGCAGCTTGTGAGAAATACTACAGACACTATTCGGGGCTGACAAAAGTCTCTTTAGTTATTTTAATTTACAGATTATTCTCCTAAAAGACTAGAACTGATCATCAATCAAAAAAATAATAAAGTTAATTATTATTTTAAAAATTTGGTACATAGTAATAACATGAAAATATCTTTTTATAACAAGATGTTTTGTGTTTGATATGATAGACTGAGCAAACAGTTTTTGTTATGGTGGCGGCAACAACCTGCCATTCAAACAGCACACGTCAGACAGTGAGTCATTGCTATAAACAACTCTGTCACTATCCACAAATTCAGCCATTATGTGCTAACAGTTTAATAAAGATACATGCCTGTAAACTTTTCAGAGGTTGACCTGGTATGCAAAACATCCATTAACAACCTAGCAAAATTGGAGACATTTTAGTGGATATATGTAAATTATATGTAATACCAGTACCAAGATTAATGTTCATTTATATTAGATTAATTTGTCTGCATTGCAATGACAAACTTTTGATCTAACCTTTTAAATGTTATCAAAATGAATGTTACATTTATCAAATGATTATTATATTATAGTATTAATAACTATGTAATTATTTAAATATGACCTAATCCTTTCAAAAAGCATCCGTACAGGGTTGCATGGTTTAAATCTTTGCCTGTGTTTAATCCTTTTTTGGATTACATAAATTCCACAAAACATGCTCATACGATGCAGAAATCTCAAATTTGGTAAAGTGTTACCAGAATGTTACATGTGATATTTAGTTTATGGTGCCATGTATAGCAATTTACCATCAGTTTATTGTCAGTAAAGCACTTCAGATTCCCCCCTTTTCTCTTTACCATGACACCGAAACCTTCGCAGTCTGCAGTCATCGTCTCACACTCTAAAAGTCACTGCTGAACTGCACAAACTTGAGTTTGTTTGCCGGGTTTCTGCTGGTCTCCAGTGGTATAACTTCTCACCTTGTTTGCTACAAGTGTAGCACACCATGACATTACTGTTGGGTGTGGTTACAGGTGCAACAAAGTACGCTTGTGACCAGACCCAATTACACCCAACAGTGATGCTAAGTCTGGCTTTTGAGTTGCAATTCAAGACCAAAAATGTCATTGCAGATCAGCAAGGCGTGTGCATTCTAAAGGTTCCAAAGAGCTTCCTTGGTACAATTAGCTGCAAGCAAATGGTATTTATTACATTCATTGATTTCTGTTAGTATGGCAGAAAACTACACTATGTGCTTGGTAAAGGACCCTGTCTGTTAAGGGATACAGATATTCAATACCATTTTAAAAAAGGGGCCCCAAAACAAGCGACACAGTTCATTCTTGACCTTGGGAAAAATTGTTCTCCAAAATGATCTTAACTTGGGGTCTTATTACTAGTTTTTCCAGAGCTTTTGACCTTATCTCTAGACATCATCAGCAAATGGAGTTTGCTAAGTTTTAATCACGTGACCTTAGTATGAAACTCCGATCATGTGACGATCATGTGATTTAACATTAATTTTGATAACATTTAAAAGGTTAGATCAAAAGAATATATATAGACATAAAAAAAAAAACAGGTCACAACATTGACTAGTTAGAGGTCAAAGTCATCAGCCAGTAATGAGCTGGTGAAACGTCAAAGAGAACATTCACATCCAATGCCAGAGACCATTTTTGAACCAGCCACTACCCTAGAAATTATGCCCAATTTGGATGATTCAAACCTCACAATTTACTCTCATCATCAACTCTCAATGTCAGTGCAGGAAATAGTGTGCCCTTTAGGTCAGGGTGATGGAAGGGTTTGTAGCATGTCTGAGTTTGATGCAGGTGATGGGTAGTGTTTACGGACCTTGCTTTAACCATGCCATAACCACAAGCTTCCTCAAACCTTAACCATACCGTAGTTACTGTACTCGGATATTGTAGAAAGGAAAGATGGTGAATACATCCCTGAACGTTTTCTAAGCTTTGGCAACATTGTCCCAATGTTCAGTTCCCATGTTGCCCCCCATGTTAAGGGCACATAATGACAAACTGAACTATCTCCATGACAACTGGAGGAAGACTGCGAGATGTGGCTGAATGCTCTGAAAGAAGCTATTAAGCAGACCTTGAGTTGAGATTACTTTGTCTTCTGTGACTACGAGTGTCTTATTTGATGTTTTGGAATATAGAGGTTGTGGTGGTGGTTTAACATCTGTGGACAGGCTGATGCTGTGTTGTACTGTATATATCTTCCTTAAGTTTGTGAAGTCTACGTTTGTTCCTGTTGTCTTTAGTCAGCTGTTGTCAATCAGAGTCCGTCTTTGTATATTTATACTGATAAGAAGTAAGCACAAGACTAGATGTCAGTTTCAGTGGACTCTTCTTGTTGGTGTTTTGTGGTTACTCCAGTCCTTCAGAGTCAATGCTGTTATTGGTAATTGTTGCCGTTTGCCTTCACCTCATTTCATTCTTATCAGGTCCTTTCATGGGGAGGACAGATTTCTCAAATGTGGGGATGGCAGACTATACAATCATCTCAGTCATAACAAATCAACACAAACATCCCTATTCAAGCCAAGCTGCCAATGCATGCATCATTTCCCTTTAATAACACTGTGTACAGTAATGTTCCCGGCAGCGGGTGAAGAGAAAATTGATGCTGTCATTTTCTCAAATGGGTTCCCTGCCATCACAGCTGCTGGAGTTCAGTCAAACATTGGACCAGAGAAAGCCAATAAAAGCCACATGAAAGACAAGATTGATATGTAAAGGGTACAGGAAATTAGATTTTCAACAAAATGCTCATTTCATAAATACTACCTACTTTAAATAATAACTCAAAGAAATCCTGTACACGATTGGTGAAATGTTGGATACTGGGTATTGCTGATATCTCGTGAAATTTCCTGTCAGTTCATGTTTTAATTGTTTGTCAGAATTTGTACAATAATGGTTGTCAAAATGACGTCTTAGGGGATATGCAATGAGAATATGTAGGTAGAGAACACTAGGATCACATGTAAATAGGAACGTTGATGTTGTGTGAAATACTTGAAATCCCTTTAATTAGTTGTTCTTGAATGTGCTACACCCCTTAGCCTTGTCTTGTAGAGGCAACCTCCTACTCCTCATGACAGGATCAGGATAGGGTATAAAATGCATGTACAATGTAATGAAGCACAGTGTAGCCAAGGACTCGAGAGTATTTCTAAGTGCCTGAATACTTCTCTCACCATTTTATTTTTTTTAAAATTATGTCTTCTTTCTCCACTTTTGGTCTCTGTTCTGACCACACGCCTCTCTTAGCTTAGGATTCTCACTGTTTAGTGGATTTGTCGATTTAGGTTTATTTT